ATGCAGTCATTTTTACTGCTTTGGGCAATATAGGTATATACTAAGTTTCAGTCTTTCCAGTGTTAAATGAGAATTTATCTATGTGAGTTTTTAATGAAAAACTGTTATAGGAATAAGAAGAAACGAGGGAAAAATCAGGTGTCTCTGCAGACATACTTGCGTCATCATGGCAATAATCCATCGACCGACGGACGCGAAATTGTCGGCGTTTATGGGCCAAATACCGATTATTCGTAATACCGTCTCTTGAACCATGAAGCCGCGATCGAGTTTCGCGGTGAAAAGCTTCCTGCCCATTTCCAGCGAGATTGGCCAACGGGAGAAGGACACTCTTTTACTTTCTTCCGAGTCGATTCGACGCGGTATGTATATAGCCACGATTTATCGTATCGTATATACGCGAAGAACTCGTTCTTCCGAGACGACGACGCCCACTTACACGCGCAGGGGTTTGGCTCGCGTGTCTTTTGATCTTTTATTCACGCGACGTTCTCCTTGTGACTAGTATTTTCATTGAAAATAAATATATAAAGTTGCTAGCGGCGGAAATCGCGTTTTCGAAAAACTTCACCTGGCCATCGATTATTTAACGTCGCGGCGAACGAGATAACAGACGCGAGGACACTTTTGTGCGATACGATGAATAAAATAGTAGGAATTGATAGCGTGGAAAAGTATGGAGAAAGAAGCTCCGTTCCCGTTGCAACGAAATTCCAGTGTTCCGCATCGAGTATCAAAGTTCATCGAGCAAAACGTGGATGAAAATAAGAAGTCCGATCTCGTAACGGTGTTTTCACGGACCGCACGCGTCCCGTCTGTCCGATTAAACGTTCTACTGCTCTTTTTCGGAATTAGAATCATCGAGGATCGTCGTCGAAGAATATTTACATTCAGATTATCGCCACGTGCTGATTTATACATTTTAATACATATTTATTCTGATTTGTGAAAAGTTGGAGAATTTACTATTACTTCACAGATAATAGTTCAACGGGTGTTTACACGCGTAGTTGATTAAGTAGGAACACGTACAGATTAACGTCTGATAGGGAGCCAAAGGGTGAACCGGGAAGTCGGTCGGATGCCAAGGAACGGTGGTCATCGTTCGAATCCTGGCAACTGTCCACAGTCTCGAACCGGTTCACCGGTGTTTCGTAGCTGCGACCTTGGAGTTTTCGAATTGAACGGGACGCCGCGTGGACCCGTGTTCGTGTTCCCTAATTCTTCGCGGGGTCGATGACTGGCAGTTCGAGGAGAGCCACCGAAAGTGGCGATTGCCAGAGAGCCGGTTCTACCCGACTATCAACCAATCGGGGTCTCTTTTCGTTCCTCAATAAAGATCATCTCTTTTAAATTGTCCCCGCGACCTATATTAAAGAATGTTAATCCCGATACCCGTTCCAAATCTCGTTTCGAGGAAGTTCACTCGTACGCATGATTCGCCTCACGTAATCATGAACAAATTAACAAGAAACGATGTGAAATCGTTAAATAATTATAAATTGCAAGTGATGTGAAATCGTTAAATAATTATAAAAGACATTCCTTCCTGAATCTTGTTCTTCCATCTTCGGTTTCGACGTCTCACGGTGCGTTCGTTGGGCATCTGTCGAGGTGCATGCAAATTCAAGAAAATAAGAGCCTCTCTGTTCTCTCCGTGTCGTCGGGAAAGAAAAATATGTATATTTTCATATGAGGTGTCAAGGAGTCGCAAGCGAGTGCGTTATCGGGCGTTTGAACGCTCTCAGTGTATACCTGGTTGCCCAGGTAGGTAAGTACCGTTCATCGGGCTACCTTCGACGGCAGTCACGGCACAACCTTCGTCGCGTCAGGTGCGCGCACAGCTCTTCGGGACCAACGGGACTCTCCTTTCCTCGGCTGCTCGCGAGTTCCTTCATCGCACCGGCGACGCCAGACAGTTCCTCTCCGCGTTACCGGGCTCTAGGTAAATCCACGTAAGTACAGTGTCTTGACGTTCGCGATTAAAAAAGCAAAGTTCATTTCATTTAAGAAATTCTTCGGATTCATTCATTAAGACAAGAGTCTTGAATTCTTACCAGTAACTATGACATACTTAGAAATCTAAACACTGTTCTAAGCATAAATGGATTAATTCTGTACACAATTAGATTAAGATAAGAACTTTCGTAATGAATTTTCGATTGCCTTCGTAGACGGAAGCTATACGCACCGGAAATGATTTCAATATTCATCAATCGTAATTTCGTTGGCTACGCGAGGAATACGAGAGGTTCAACGACCAGAGCCAGAATTTTTAACGAGCTCTGCTAAGAATTAATTCCTTCGGGGATAAATAGTCGAAGAAGAAGTTCAATTTCGTTTTAACGTGTGCCCGGTTTACGATGCGTATCGAGTAGCGGTGTGCCAGCAGGCTTGAATGATCGCTTCCACTGAAAACACAATCGAACACGCTCTAGTTGATTGCAACTACCGTTCTCGAGTTAATACGAATTTTCATGACCCATTTCGTGACAACCCGATCGCGCGACGGTTCTCTTCTATGTCTACTCGAAAACCGAAATTCGTTAGTCACCAGCTTTATGTTTCCTGTTGTCGTTTCAACGTCCTTTGTCATCGGCAAAAATTCATCGCTGACGAAATTTCTTACGGTTTCAGTGTCAGTAGAAACAAACAGCGCCTTGCGTAATTTACATATCACGCGTACGAAGAAAAAGATTATTTTACAGGCGAATTTTAATGAGCGCGATAACGGTAGAGTTGTAATTATTTCAGGAAAAAAAAAAACGTAATTACTATCGGCGATCTAACTACTTACAGAGATATGCGGCTCGGCGTAACGATGATGCCCTGTAAATAAAAGTGAACGACCGACGTCAGCTTTAAACGTTACATTAAAACTATTTAGAATTATAGAGAAGTGAGAGAATGTGAAAGAGTCGAGTCGACGTGTGACTGGTTCAGAATGTATGGGGAACGGATCTGGGAAATCCGGGTGTCTCGAGAATCAGAAACATCGGACTTTTGTTCAAATGAATCATACGAGATGGCAAATTGTGCTCAACCGGTGTAAAGAGCCGTACTAAGCGTGTCTAACGAGCTCCCTTAATTACGTAGCAAAACGCCATGAATCTCGCGATGAATAGCCTAATAAGTATCCGTTCTTTTACTAACATCTTCAGATATCTGGACCGTGGCTATCTCGATTAATATTTTGGTCGCTCGGTTCTATTCTCAGGATCGATGATGCAACTGTGGTGAAAGCATCGATGATTTCATTTTTGCCAACAACGGTACGCGATGTCCAACGAAATCACTAATAATACACGAATTGTACCGTTATCCGGTTGACTCGTTGCGTTTATCCGAGCAAAGGATAAAAATAAGAATAGGAAGGGAGAAGAATGGACGCGTAAAACGGCGGCGTAACGTTCAGCTTGAGCACGGTACGGTTCCCGGAACCAGGAAACGGTGTCGATGTCCGGGGTGGCCTTGGAAATCGACGACGAACCAAACGAGAGTTCTCCACGCTTTCCCTCTCGTCCACGTGGGTACGAGAACAGCGTATCTCTTGCACTTTCCGCGTGCACGCGCGAAATTGATAAATAAACGCGGCCTCGCTCGAAACAGGCTAATTGCGAGGAATCTTACTTCCTGTTTCTTCGAATAACCCCGATTTTAAATCGAGGAACGGTGTACTTAAAGACGAGTTTTAATTTCGTTTTCAACTTTAATCGTCCGGGTGTAAATTCGGAATGGGTGATCGCTCGGGTTGTCAATTGGCGCGAGTTCGGCGCGTCGGAGGAACGGATGACTAACAGTCTGTACCGTTAGCCCGAATCGTTCCTCCAACTGGAGAATGTCAATTTCATGCGGTTTACGGTACTCAAATTGCGCGTTAGAGTACACCGCTCCGATTGTTCGCCACTTCTTTTCATTCAACCAGTTACCCGCGACAGCCATTGATTCAGAATCGATCGCGACTATTTTACGGACGTTTATCTACCTGTCACGCTGGCATTTTCATGAAATTCGATACGCAGACGGAATTTATGAAACCGTCGATGGGAGAAGAACGGTGACGGAGATATTCAGACGCTCGAATTGCAGCAGTTAGTATTCTTCAGTTCTCGGGCGAACAATCGAACGGGGACGAACTTAACTGTGTTCATTTGTCGTCCCGCAACGGTATTCGGGCGACCACGGGTCCGAAACCGTTTCCGGTGTGTATCACTCGACGTTTAAAATCCTGCTGGCAACCTGCTAGAAAGGCGCGGCTTCCTAAAATAACTCGACCACGATCGAGATCCGGTTGAAGGTGAACGACTCGTTTTCCCACCGTGCGGATCGAGAACCGCGGCTTCAGGAACGTCCATAAGCGTTATACGTGTGACAACTAATTCCAGAGATCGACCAGGACGGAATAAAAATGTGGCTGCCAAGGGCATGCATCCTGTTGGCTCTGTTGGGTCTGACGCGATGCGGCACACAAGATGAGGAAGACGCGTCGACCGTCTTCCTCGAGGCAGCCAAATCCTTCTTCTCCAACAAGGATAATCTGAACGGTCTTCAAGGATTAGCCAGGACGTTCTTGCAGCCGGACGACAAATCGGAGGTAATTAATCCACTTTCTCGTCTAATCCGGACGTTAAACGATTCACGTGAAATTTTGCACGACAGGCCGGCAACGTATTCGACGGAAAAGCCAATTTGGAGAGCGTCGGTCAGATCGTATCGGGAATAGGCAGCCTGTTCTCTGGCAACGAGAACAACCAGGGAGTCGATCTCTCGATGATCGGGTCGGTCCTCAACGGTGTGTTGAACTCCGACAAAAGTTCCAAGAGAAACGCTAGAAGCGCCGAAACGACCCAGCAACCGGGGATCGATCTGGAGAATATAGTGAACATGGGGAGCATGCTGATGGGCCAGAACGGAAACGCTGACCTAGTCATGGGCTTGTTACCGATGCTGTTGCAAAACTTAGGCACCGAGAGCAACGAGGTCGACGGTCCGCCGAAAAAGGCGCACGATCATTCGGGACACTCGTGGTACATGCCGCCAATTTTGGAGAACTTGCACGTGATGTGGGAACACTTTAGTAATTCAGAACTGGGCCAGACGCTGTGGAACAAGAGCGGCTTGTCGGATTTCGTCGGGCAGGTGTCCGACTCGACCGGGCGGATCCAGTACGAGAAAATGTTGGACAGCTTCGAAGATCCAGCTCTGCGTCGCAGGTGGATCAGGTCATTGACCAATTACATCGGCGAGTGGATTTCTCACGTCTCGGATCCACAGATCCAACAACGTTACTTGAACACGATTCAATTCGTGGGAAATAGTTTCCTGAAGTCGCAAGGATTCCCTAAATCGGCGATGTTCGATTCGATGAGACCCATAGAAAGCCTCTCCAGGTATAAATCCCATTTCTAATTTATTTAAATAGGATAAGCTTCGATTCGTTTCTTTCTTTTTAAGATTGATAAACGCGGTGGGGAAGAGACATTTAGGAATGAAGATCGACAGCTCGCAGTATATTAAGCCAGCGGTGGCGTACATCAAGGAGTTAATTAATCTGGCATCAGAGAAAGGGTTCATCATGTCCCGGGTGAACGCCAGGACGATCAGTAACAGGCTCAGCGACATGCTCAACAACGACATCGTCAATCCGGTATTAAAGGTAAGCCGTGCGTCACACGCTATTGCAGTTCGATCGTAGCTAAAAAATTTTGTTCGATTTTTAGTCGTATCGAGCGTACAAATGGGCGATTAAGCGGCCGCAGTGCGCCAGCCAGATTTTGTGCACCATAAACGAGAAGAACGAACAGGACAAGGATCAGCCGCCTCTGCGAAGCGGTTTGTTAAAAGTGACCAGTTTTCCGTCCGCCTGGGCCGTCAGTAACAAGTTGGGCATCAATTTCTGGTCTCTCTACGGAGCCATCATGGAACACGACAGATGCGTCGTAAGTAAACGATCATCCTCAGAAGTATTTATAAGTAGTATTTCAATATATGGTTCGAAGTCAATTTTTAAAACATTATGTACTCATCTTGTATATCTATAAATTTAATATATCGATGTTTGGAGTAAATTGGAAGTATCGATATTTGAAAGTTTTCGCAATGTGCAATATTTTCAATAGACAGTGAATATTCTCCGGTGCCCTGAATGGGGAATTCGATGCTCGATTTGAAAATTTTAATTCGAGTTCATTGATTCCGCAGCAAAAGTATCCGGCTGACTGCACCGACTTCCACGAAGAGGAGATCCGGATTACCACAGAAAGCGTTCACAGTGAACTTTGATCTCTAGCTGACAATGACAGTGTGCCCTGTGAGAGACGTTCGCGAGCATTGTTTTTTTTTTTTTTTTTTATTTAATAGTTTGTAAGACATTTCATTAAACGACGAGTGGAGGAAAAAGGGGAAAGTCGAAGAAACGAGGGATCCTCTCGGTTTCTTTACGTGTACATAAAAAAACACGACCGTGGACAGTGTCGTCGAATAAATACTTTCATTTATCTCGAGTTCTCGCGCGTGTCAGATGCAAATACGCGTTCTCGTCCATGACGTTCACTTTCATCCCGGCGAACGGTCAGGTCGAAGTACGAAAGCTACGATTAGTTATACCTTTTATTTCGTTCTCTTTTTGTTTTTATTTTCACATAACGGAATCTATAAAAATTCTATCCGACGAGAAGAGCGACGCATATGAGTTCTTTAGAGTCATAGCGAAGAGAATCCGAGCTTAGGAAAGCTCCTTCCATGAAGGACGGAAGTTGAACGACTTGGAACCGGTTCGATCGTGTTCGTGCGTTCGCGTTGTTCGTAACAACTTCTGTAAATATTAGATAAAAGCCAAATAAAACGTATGTTGTTTGTACAAGATACATCGTCCCGTTTACTTCTTCTTGATGTTCCTGCAAGCCCACTCGAGGCCCTCCTGTAAGTTCAATACACGTCACTATTCCTCTATCGTCTATTCCCGTTCATTCCTTACCTTCACTCCTTTTCCTTCGATGGCGATGCACGATTGTATTTGCCAATCGCGGTCTTTGATATTGTGTAGTCCAAGTCCTTCCGCGATTTCAGCCGCGGTCACGGCTTGTCCAAGATCCTGTTTGTTCGCATAGACCAACAATGGGACACCTTTCAGCTTCTCCTCCAGCAGAAGTTCCGACAGCTCTTGGCCCGTTTCTTCCAGTCGTTTTATATCCGCGCTGTCCACTACGTATATCTTTTCGAAAACAAAAACACTGTCACAAAAATATGTATAATTAAAAGGATAATTCATGATTTACCAAGACGTCTGTGTTTTCGAAATAATTTCGCCAGTAGGGGCGAATCTTTCGGGCACCTCCGATGTCCCAGACGTTCAGCTTGAATCCCTCGCTTTGCACACTTTTTATATTGAAACCTTGAGTCGGCGTCACCTGTAAGGAATTAAATAATAACAAAGAAAATACAATCCCTTCTAATTAATACGATACCTGCGTAATGTCTTCGCTGGCTAACGATTTTAAAATCGTCGTCTTTCCAGCGTTGTCTAATCCCAGAAGGAGCAATCGTAATTCTTTGTCTGGATTCGAGCGCAGTTTCCTCAAAATCGATAGAAGTCCCTGTGAGAAAGACAAATCTTTAATCGTAGTGCGGAGAGAGTTTAAATTTAAATCATGCGCTTCCCGCTCTCCGATCTAGCAGACGAATTCACTTTGCGATGTGATGTTTGTGTACGAGGGAGGCTTTGCGAACCTATCATCGCCAAATCGAATAATTTCGTATTAAAAGATTTTTCAACGAGGTTTCAGTGAAATAAAAACAATAAGCGCGTTGAGGAGAGGATTTTTATTTAATGAGAAACGTCGTGGTCAGGTTGGCAGTGCTCGAAACCGAGGTGTGGCGTCCGATAGGTTATGTTTCGTGCGACTCGTGCTTGAATAATAATAATTTACAATAGAATAGAGTGCATGAAAGGGTGCGGTGCGTCGAATATCGGTTCTCTTTCGTTCGTTACCATATTGCGTTTGTTATTTTGCAAGAACGGGAACAAACAACGTGGCAATTGTCGACCGCGACACGTCGATCGTTTATGGTTGTTGACTCGCCCAGTTTTGTTTTGTTTTCCTCGTATCTAAGGAAACTATCACACCCGCACCTCCTCACCAATTATCTATTTGCGCCAGTTACGTGGAAACGTAGGTCAACAGCTGCAGGTTCCAGAGAGATATTCAATGAAATAAAGATAGACATTCATTTTGGGAAAGATTTATTTGAAATCTCAGAAACATGTTTTATTACGCCGGTTTCAACACCAGTAGATTATTCTCCACTGACGAGAATATTACTTTCATTGTTAATCCTTTTACCAAAATCCCATTTCCTGGTATCACCGATTTTCAAATAGGCTGGGGGTTTTTCCTCCTTTCGAAGGGGGAGGAGATTTATATTTGCAAAAACTCAGCGGAGGATAGTAAAGATTCGATTACTCAACCAATACGAATACCAGAAAAACCATTAGACAGGTACAGCGTCCACATCATTAGAAAAATCATCGAACTTTAATTGGATTATTTTTGTAGTTTCAGACAAGCTGCGATTGGTAAAGACAGCATAATAATTTTATCCAAAGACAATGAGATTTGGCGATATAAAATCTATGAAAATTCCTGGAAGAAAGTTACCAACTTCATTCCTAGTAATAGCGAATCGGAAAATGAGTACCCCGTTAAAGTATCGCAAGGAGGGTGCACCGTAGCCCTTACCAATTTAGGTATTTGTTCAATTAGAAGTAGATTGCTCGGGAAGTTCGCGGTGAAGTATTCAAACATTCTTAAGAACGTGCTAACCAGCGCATTTTCCGAGCGAGGCGATGAAGACCGCGATTAAAATTCGTGTACACGCGAACCGTGATTCAGGTCGAGTGTTCAACGTCCCTACGCTGGTCGACATGCCAAAGAGGGTTCGATTTATGGACATCGCTTGCGGATTTGATCATACTATCTTGTTAGCCGGAAACGGTGACGTTTATTCAATGGGAACGGGAACGTACGTACCGCGAGAACGTACATTAATTCAGTATAGACGGTCGTAGTTGAAACTCGTGTGTCGAAACAGGCGCGGTCAGTTGGGTCACGACGATTTAGAAGACAGCGATGATCCGAGGCTGATCGAAGCCTTGGCTGGCATCAAAGTCGTACAGATCTCTGCCGCCGGTTGGCACAGCGCCGTGATAACTGATCAAGTTAATAAAAATTCTCATAGCGACAAAGCATCGTTCGACACGTCTTTGCATCGGTCGTTTTTAACCGCAGGGTGACTTGTACACGTGGGGGTGGAATACGCAGGGAGAATTAGGCTTGCCTAATCGGGACAGCAAAGTGATCGCTGTCCCCTCGTTAGTAGATCTGATGAACGAACAGGACGAGAGTATAGAAGTTTTTGTGAAAAAAGTACAATGTGGAAATACGTTCACCGTTTGCATGGCGGGTACGTCCTTAATAAGAGGAATTTGCTCCTGAAAAGAGTTCCAGAGGTTTAATCTTTCAACAGATGACGGGACGCTTTGGGGTTGCGGATCTAACAAATACGGGCAATTAGGACAGCCCCGCGAAAGTCTCTCGAGCTCCTCGAAATTCGTCAGACTGACTGTCCCTTTGAAAGCGGAAACTATCGAAGATTTCAACTGCGATGAATGGGGTACCGTCCTTAAAACGACTGAATAATTTCTTACTGACAAGATTGTAACTTCGCGTGAGGGAAATAAAGAAAATATTTTTGAAACAGTCAAAACTCGACCACGTTCATCGCTTCGTTCGCCTCTATCAGCGGCAGAATGAATTCCCTCTTCCGTATCAATTCCTTATCCTCGTGCAAAGACGGTGGAGGTGTATATATAGGTACGTCCGCCTTCGCCTTCCTACCTGTAATGCAAAAATCCACTACAATTCGATGCTCTTAACGCATTAAAATTCTATGTATAAAATAATTTTTTTACCTCTGTCGTTGGATTTGTTAGATTTCTCCATCTTTTCAATTCTTAGCAAACTTTTATGCAATTGCATGTCGAACGGCATCCACTTGGGATTCGCCAACTTTGTCTGACGCGGCGTGCGCAAGAAGAACGGTAGATTGTAGCCATGTAGCTCAATCGGTTCCACGAAAACCGCGTAAATGAGCGCATACCGTAACTCATTAGCGTACCTGTTCGATGAAAACTGTGCCGATGCTCTTGCAGTAAGAGTTTTAGAATAGTCTAATGAGCTTACATGTCGTAAATAGATTCAATCACGATGTTCAACGCGGCGAGTGGGCCGATACCATCCGGAAGTACAGATTCCTGTAAACTTTTCGAAACTGGATTCATTATAGGAAAGAGAAGAGTTTAAAAATTACGAACCAACTACCTCCTCTCAGACGGATACTTCTTTGCCTCCATTTCTTCCTCTGCGTTGTGTTCCGATACTATTTCCTCCCAATACGGTAATTGGTCCTTCTCAGATATTTTCGTAGCTGCTACGGTGAAGATGTCCTTCAACTCTTTGAAAAATTCCTCGCGAGTGTATCTCCTGTCTGTTGGATATAAACTTTGAGTCGGAGTTTCTAAGAGGACCGACGAACTTGTTACCTCGAAGCAATCGAATCGTTCCGGTCAACCAGTTGACCAAAACGCCCATGTAATAATTGTTTAGATCTTTCTTATACTTCAACGTTTGTAGCGCCAGAGAATCTAGAAGCCAGAAGGAAGCCTTGTTCTTCGAATAGTCGTCGATTCCTAATAGGTTTCCTAAATATCTGAGCAAGGGAACGATTCTTGCGCATTAAATCTCATCGGTTGTTCAATTAATTTATCTAACTCGATAAGTTCCCATGGTTTGTCCGTTTCGATGTTCACCGGAGCGTCGAACAAGCTTTTGAACGTAGGCGGAAAAATCGTGAGAAACTTTTTAGGAAATCCGTCGAAGAGGATGGATTGGATTGATTCTCCGCATCGCTGAAATTGGAAATTCCGAAGAACGATTGGAGGAGGGAAGGGACGAAGGAGTAAGGAAGATCAGAAGACCTTGAGAGACCGAGTGCTTTCGTTTCCAGTGATCACGGCCTCCAGGTTAGACATTTTTTTTCTTCATCTAAATATGCTGCGAAAGGTGTTGCACCGATTGATAACTTCGTTACCGTTCGAAATCGAACTGGATCGCGTCGGCGAGATATCGCGTCGGGGGAAACGGCAATAAAAGGAATAATCAGAATCAGAGAAACGGTTCGTTCGTTTTTTATTCATTGATTTTATTTTTTAATTTTTTTTCCATATTTTGTTCAATATTTTCAGAAAATAACACTCCAAAGCGAAAAAACCGTATATTCTCACCAATCCCAATGTGTGTATAATATATATATATTATACTTCTCATATATAATATATATGTATATATATATAATATATATATATATAATGTATACTTTTATACTTTTATATATATAATAATATTATGTAGAGTAGCGCACACTTTAGACTGTTATCGATACCTTTTATAATTTTATCGATAAATTACAAATATTGAAAAACATGAAACAGACACAGCCGGCGGAGACGCGGGGACTCGGGCGGCCTGGGACATCTTTTCCTCCACCTCGCTCGCGGGAAATCGTGTGAAAAAAGATTTCTTTCGTGTACGCGCGACGCGACCCGCGTTCCGTTCCGCGCGCGGCCCATTCTGCGAGCCGTCGTCCGATCGACGATCGAGACCGGACCGAGAGGAAGAAAGACCGAAAAAAGGAACATTTCTTCAGCCTCGCGCTGGACGCGTTTTTCGTCTTTCCTCGTTCGTTCCTTCTGGCTCGGCTCCTTCCTTAGAAGGATAACGGGGAACGCGATCGGGCCGCGTCGCGCCTCGGGACAAACTACTAGATACACCTATTCCTATTTAATTATATTAATTGCGGACGCTCGGAAGTCCCCGGGTCCCGGCGAGACTGACATTTTTTATTTTTTTTTTATTTATATATTTTCACACCGAAGTCAGAAAGGCAATACGCAGTATGAACTTACTTAGTACATTTTTTTTTTGTGTGTGTATGTGTGTACGCGTATGTGTGTGGCTTTTACAACTATTTTCCATTCTTTCCATCATTTTCATTTAATCTTTGTTTTTTCTCTCTCTGTTTTTCTTCTCCTCGTATTCCGCGTTTGGTTGTTCGCTCCTGTTCGTCATCGTCCCTTAATCTTATGTCTTATTTATATACTTCGTGTTTCGTTCGTTTCTGTTTAGTTTTTAATCGTATTGTTCGCTTCCACGCGTTCTTCCTATCATCTTTTGTATACATTTGTAACAAGCATCTATTTTATATTTTCGCCGTTTCGATCCTGTCGACAGGATAATTTTCCCCGTTTCTTTTTTTTTGTTTTATTCTATTTTACCTCTCTTCGATCTCCGACTGATCTCCTTTCGTTTTCTTCTTCTTCGCATTCTCGACTTCGTTCAGTTCTACCACATTTCCGTCGGTTCCGTCTTCCCCCGTCGTTTCTTCATATACGACAATTATTCGAAGATACGTGAGAGTAAGAGGGAGAGAAAGAGAGAGAGTTAAAGAGACAGAGTTAAAGAGAGATAGAGAGAGAGAGATATGGGAGAGATGATTACGGAGAGAAGAGAAGGGTGCCGTCGGAGGGGTGTCTCGGGGAGAGAAAAATCGTATACAGACGCAGCCAATTGATACTCGAAAATCGAACAACGAAACGATATATAAATGAAAAAAAGAAGCGATACAACCAATCAGAAGCGTAGAGACACTTAAAATAAGAAAATGGTGGGATCAGGTAAAAAGCTGTGATTTCATATCTTTCTTCCTCTTTCCTTCAACGAATTAATTTTAAGAGGAAATACAGACTTTTCCCTTTTTTCGACGTGATTTAACGAGGATACATGCATGAACCAAGCGGGGGGGCGGAGGAAAGAAAGAAGAAATCACTCGCGGCAAGTGTAAATAAAAATAAAAATCCGATGAAATTAAATATTTTCAATCGATTTTATTGAAAATAATACAACAAAATATCTCATAATAATAATTAAAAATAATGATACGTACTGTTCTATTCGGTATCTAAATAATCATGTCTTAAAACGTCATTTAAATAATAATAATATTAATAATAATATTATCGTCGTCATTAATCATCGTAATAAAATAAAATAATAATAAAATGATAATAAAGGCAATAAAGTTAATAATAATAATAATAATAATAATAATAATAATAATAATAATAATAATTATATCATATAATAATGCATCAATAAACAAACTTAATAATCTAATTATTGGTTAATGATTTTGTCATCGTCCTTGATCGCTATCAATGGATCCTTTTTTTCTTTACCTAGTCATTAATAATGGATAATTAATTAATTCATTAATTAAATTACACGTTGGTTGGATATGCACATAGAGATATAAAGTCGTTTTTGGTCCCACCTAACTTCAAAACGTTATATTCGTACAATCATTTTTTGTTTTGTTTGCTTGTTTGTTTGTCGCAATGGATTATGAACGCTTTACATGTAATAAATTGCGTGTAACGTGAGTGTATACCTCGTGTGTCGGTCGTGTGTCCCGTGTGAGAGTGAGTGTGTTCGTTACGTGTGCCCGTGGTTTCGAGAAAACCTATTCGTTTAACTATTTATATCGGTAAAGCTGTCGTTATCTTTTTCTTTTTTTTTTTTTCTTTTACCTTTCCTCGTCGAAACAAACTTTGTAATTCGCGTATACACGTATGACGACGTTTACTATTACAAATCGCCTTCTGCCTTTTCCTTCCTCACGCCGCTCTTATCGTTCCCGTTTATCCTCTATTACGTCTAGCGTTTTCGTGTTAGCCAACGAAAACTCTCGTTCCCTTCGGGCGGTACCCAAAACGATCGTTCGAAAGAAAGAAAAACGTAAAAAGGTGAAACCGGTTTGGTCGCGACCGAATGCGATCTGCCGTTTCGGAAACTTTCCTTACGCTCGGGGACGCGTATCGTTCCGAGTAACGAAAAATTTCACCCTGTCTTTCTTATTTCCACCTTATCGTTCTGTTTTCAATATCGTGCCGCCGACTCGGTTCGCTTCCGTTTCCCGGCAATCGATGGGGCGCGTCGTTCGGTACGCGTTCACTTTCCACGAACACGCCCTGCGCCGTGTTCGCTTTCTCCCGTTTTCTTTTCTTTTCTTTTTCTTTTTCAAAGGAAAAAATGTTTCTCTTACAACTGGCATTTCGTTATGCACTCCTTTTACAAGTACGCTTAAGTTATCTAATAACATTATTCTCACTAGATTCATCACCGTGCGAAGGGGAACGCTCGATCCTTTCTTCGGGGACGTTCACTTTCGACGACAACATTTTTAATTACAGCCAATCGAGATAATTTCGACGCGGGTACCGCGTACAATTATATCTAATTCCATCTTTCTCGTTAAGGCTAGACCGCGCGAATTAAAAATACTGTTTCGTATCAGTCGTATATACGTTTTTCATCGACCTGGTCATCCGTTACCGCGACCCGACGAGACCCCGTCGCTACGATCGCGTATCTCGCACGCTGTAAAAAAGTTAACGGATAAAAAATGCACAAAGAGGCGACGTCGACTCGCTGTAAATCGGGCGCCTTGAAACCAGGCCGCACGCAAAGTAATGCCAGTTGTACGCTTCCTCGGAGACGACCCGCCAAACTTCGTGGCCGCGTCATTACGCTTCCGGCAAGATGTGGAAAGTAAATGCTGTCTTCGTCGTTCGAAGCGAGGAATCGTCTCAGCGTTCGAAAAATCCGACTCGAGTCAAATCAGGCGGAATGTTTGCGACTTAATACGACTGAGGTAACAATTGAAAGAAAACGCGGAAGCGCAATGGGTTCCCGGCTCGTCTCCTCGTCCGCCGTTTCGACCAAACGGCGATCGACACGGCCCCCGCTGTTCGCCGACGATCGTTGCCGAGTCGCGATTAATAAACACGAACAGCCGTGGCAATCGTATCGGTCGAATCGTTTCGCGTCGCATCGTTAACACATTTCAAATATTAATAACCTCACAACCATTTTGATTAACAATCAATCTTCAACAAAAGATCGTCCTACCACAAAGAATCCTTTAAAAAATGCGTCAGCCCGCGGATTCCACTTCCGGCGTCTTACGCCGCTTTTCCCCTTTGTAACTGCATCCCGTTACGCGCTCCCGTTTCTCCGATCCTCGGGACCAGCCGGAAGTCAATCCTGCCGGCTGACGTATCACATGTTTCAAAGCTGCGAACCACGTTACATTTGCGATCCGTTCGTCGCTCTCGTTACTCCCGCGACTCAAAAGAATGCCCAAAGTATGTCTTTTTTATTCCCCGCTCAAGCTTCGATTCTCTTCTCCGTTCGCGAAGGACCCACTCATCAAACCTATCCCAAGTACAGTTCGTGATCTTCATTATTTTCATAACTGTCGAATTTCGAGTCCGGAACAAGTTCGATGCGTGGGAGCTTCCGATCAAGCGATCGACAAAAATAACGTGACTGATCACACGACATTAAAAACTTATTCCCAATCGCGCTACGATTTCGTACGTGAATCCTATACTATTCCGCGTGTAGCCGTTTCAATACGCGCGCGCGTGTAACTTCCACACAATTCAGTTCTTTACAAATATCGCAAAGCCGAAGAGAGATCTCGACGTTCTTGAAATTAATGACCCCTGATCGTTGCAACTGATCATATTCTCTTCGACTCTGCAGGATATATGTACTTCGAAATTCATAAAGTATACATCGGTCTAGCATGTTTATAATAGGGTGTCTAAAGAAATTCATCTATCAATGAAGAATGAACATGTCGACGTAGTACGCGTCCCAATGTGTCGGTTTTGTAATTGTGCTCGTGTGTCGCAACAAAAGATTTAGGGTGTTCCGTCTCGTGATCGATCTCAAACAGGCTGACCCGTCGTCCGAAAACGGGGGTGCGGAGTAGCAAAGCTTTCGAAACGAAAGAAGAATGAACGAGTAGCACCGGCCGGGGGGTGAAGTACAAAGAGACTATGAAATGGAGAAAACGACTATTTGAATATTTTTTAGAGGAAGAGAGAGGCCGGTGTCCTCGCGATTG